CCCTGATACACAGCCTTCGATGCATTCCAGGCCTGCCTCTTCTGTGTCATCAACACCAGCAACTACAGGAGGACCAACAGCGGCCGCCCTCATGAGTTCCAATGCTTTGGCATGCATGCCACAAGTCTCATGACCTCTCAAGTTGCAAATCTGTAAAGCATTTCTCGAGGACACTTCCAGCCGGGCAAAATTGCACTTGAGCTGAGCACTGTGGCAAACGTAGCAGCCAACGCCAAAAGTGGTTTCGTCGTCCCAGCATCCAGGTTTTGTGATCAAGTAACTATGTTTCTTCTTTGACACCGGATGAATAAAAGTGCATTTCTGCATCCAGGCCAGATCTGCACATGGGTCTCCCAAGTCCAGGCACTTCTTGCGCAATCTTCCCAGGTATCCTGCCACGCAGGCTAAAGTCTAAAACCTTTGATACTAGGGCGAAGGATCACCAATTCATTAAACGAATGCCCCGATGTCGGGAAGCACCAGTATCCCCAGGGGAAGATAAGAACCCTGAATCACAAGTTTAACAAACCCGGTTGATGTGCTGCTGTGGCAGCTCGGGCCTGCAGCGAAAAAGCACCGCACACAGTTGGCATGGCCACGCTGGCATCTCAAGAGATGATGGCGGCACAGCCGGCTGGTCTCACTCCAAGGAGCATCCTCTGTATCCATTGTGTGAAACGTTGGCGAGAGCACAATTAGAGGAATACTATGTGCGGCTTACAGCATTCTTGGATTGACTGCCATTGCATGCATGTCTCGATGATCCATGCATGTCTCCATGATCCGAATCCTGTGCGGGGAATGCCTAAGCCCTGCCGAATGAAACAGTATTGGAAAGACAGCCCTCAGCCCTGCTGTCGAAGGGACGGACGGGCAAGCAGGAGTTAGTCCGAGACCGATGATGAACCCCAAATCCCAAACCCTACCGAATCGCGCAGGCTAGGATCAGGTTCAACCCTTAACCCTTAAGTACGACCCTCGGAGATGAAGCAGCAGCCGAATCGCACAAGCTAGCTTCCGAATGTGATTCCCGATTTGGACTCGCACACTCACACAAAGCAGGCACGGCTTGATTCCCGATTTAGGGTTGGAGGGTTCAGAAATTAGGGTTGAGGGTTGCAAATAAGCACGACAAATGGCACCGGGCACATGCTCAGCACGCTGTCGTCGAAAGCTTCGAGCTGCAGCCTGAGCATGAAAAGCAGGAGGGCCGACCCTAACCTCCAAACCCAACCGACCTAACGCCACCGACACGAACACCACCAAGCTATACCCCAAACCTAAACCAAGCCCTTCAAACCACGCGGACAAGAAAAGGCAGGGGTTGGGACGACAAACCCCCTAAACTCCTAAACCCAGCAATGCGAGAGCTGGGACTCCGAGCCGTCGAATGCACCGGGCCTGAGCGAGATGAACATGAGTTACTCTGCTCAAACATGTGAAGTCAGTCATTCTTGATTGACATCTGTGCCCTGTTGCGAGAATCACCATAGGAACCTCCTATTGCAAGTCTTAAGCTGAACATTTCAAGGTCCCGGCATGTCTCTGTAGTACAAGTTGAAGACGCCACCTTTGCAATTCGTTCGAATGATGAGACTGACATGAGGATGCATGCCAAACGAATCCTTGCATGCCCCGCCAAAGTAAATGAATGGAACACCAAGTACAAGCTGAAACCAGGTAATCGAAGCAAGCGTCCTGCAACAGACATGCCGAACACAGCTGCGCAGCCTGTGTGAAAACACTCCAAGGCAGCGGCCGAAAGAGGACGGTCACAATGAAACCCAGGTCCTGGAGGGAAAATGCAGTGCAGTTTATCAATGCCCAACATGAATCGTAACAAGAGTGCAAGAAGCAGGCAGCATGCAGGAGAGGGTACTACCGGATGGTGTGGGAATAAACTTAAACCCTAATCGCATCTTCTTCGAATCAATTAGTCGGGGCAAAGCGACAGCATCCGACACAGGCAACCGGTGCCACATCCTAATCCGTGAGCGCTTTCTTTTTCGAAGCCGGCGTTCCCAGCGAGGCTCAAGTGAAACCACGGCACCGGAAGGGATTATTGCCTTTATATAATCTAAATTTATTTTAATTGTGCTTTATTCAACCACCCCTCCGGCGCTTCTGAGGCTGCTCAGCCTCCTGCTGCTCAGCCTCCTGCGGCCGCCGCCGGCTCGCCCGGATCTCCTCCGCCCTGGCCACAAAGAGATGCTCCTGATTGATGGTCGCTTCAATAAAAAAACCTTACGCTCTAAACCAAAACCCTTAGGCCCTAGGCCTAAACCTAAACCCCGAACCTAAACCCTCAACCAAAACCCTAAACTCCTAAACCAAACCCCTTAGCCTTAAAAAATGCAAAGGCAGGAAGGTGGCGAAGGCCGAGAAGGGAAGAGCCTTTCTCTCAGTTGCCGAATACCAGAAATGGCAAGTGCTGAGATAAATGCTCCAGAGCTCGTAGCCTCTCTCCCGAACACAGTCGTGACCATCTGGCTCAGCAGCATCGATCTGACAGAGTGGTCAAGTCAAACCGTAAAGCCCAACCCAAACCACAAACCCCAAACACCAAAAAACTACAAGCAAACCAACCCCTTTTAAACCCACATTAAAATGAGCAGCATCCAGAAACTGCACGGGGATCTTCGTGGAAGCACAGCAGCGACCGTCCAAGTGATAAAAAAAACAGCCGGAACCAGTCATCACCCATCGCCAACGTTTGCCCTTCTTATCCTTAACCAGCTCATCCACATCCGGATTAATGCAGCTCATGTTGTACCCGATGTTGCGGAAGTCGACATGTAGAGGCTCAACCTGAGTCTGAGTCTGCTTCTTCCGACCAAATCGCTTTACTGAGACTTAAATTACCAGACGAAAAAACTAGCGAGACGGCCCAGTGGCCGATTCCTCAACAACAGGAATCACTGCCGGCGTCTCCTCCTCCTCCACGATGGGCTGCAGCTCAGGAGCCAGTGGCAGTACTGGAATGGCATCCTCACGCCGCTCCTCATTGATGACAGGCGTGTCAGCCACCGGCACCGCAGGAAAACGCGGACCAATAACAGCAGGATGCTGCGGAATCCAGGGCGCCAAACCCGGACCAGCCTTTGCCGGCACCACGGCCTGATTTGATCGATTAATGATTGTCTCGATTGAACTAGACTCTTTAGACTGAATATTAGAGGTAATCCCCAATGTAGTAATGATTGGCCACGATACCGGAGGTCGGAAATCATCTCCGAACTGCCGCTGATGCACCAGTCGCCCACCACGGGGACGACGAGCCATGGCGAGCCACCGCGGTGTCGATTACAGCGACATCAGAAGACTACAACCCTTGAGTATGCTGTGTGTCCCGGGTGAGTCTGAGTGAGCGAGACAGAGAGTGAGCTAGAGTGAGAGAGCGAGTGAGTGTGAGCGACGACAAAGAAGCCCAAGGTGGAATAGCCCTAGACTTAGAGTGTGTGCGTGAGGTGAGCGACTCAATGGAGATATGAAAGATCTACCTCCGTCATCCTTGATATACCCATTAATGCAATGCCCACACCATGAAGATTAAAGGTCATGGGTGATGCATGCACTCAGGTCATGGATGATGCATGCACTCATGCACTTGAACGGCCGCCCTGCGCCCATCACACACTCAACTCATGTCAGTCAACTGCAGCACACTGCCAAAATCCCAAACCCGAAGCCCTGAACTTACCATTACAGGGGGCTTGTGGAAACCCAGAAGCCCAAACGTAATTTCTGACAAGACAACCAGAACCCCGACCCACCAAGACTATAATGAGGTTTCGGGGTGAGCACCGGCAATTAAGTTTAAAGGCCTAAGCTTCAGCACAACCCAGGGTGTCCTCAGCATCGCGATGCCAGCGATCTGCCATGGCCCAATGTCCAAGCCTCGGCAGCAACAGAGGGGGGAGGGAGAAAGAGGCACAAACGCAAGACACTCAGCACTGCCACTGCCTCAGACCTATGGCCTACCGCAAGACGCCAAAGCGAACCTTCCCAACCTTCCCGCCCTCTCTGCTTCTCTCTCCCTCTCTCTCTCCCTCTCCCTCCCCCTCTCTCTTTCACTCTCACTTACTCACTCATTCCCTCGCTCCCTCCCTCTTTCTCTCCCTCTCCCCTCGCTCTCCATCTCCATCTCTCTCTCTCTCTCTCTCTCTCTTTCTCTCTCTCTCTCTCTCTCTCTCTCTCTCTCTCTCTCTCTCTCTCTCTCTCTCTCTCTCTCTCTCTCTCTCTCTCTCCTATAACCTCTTGTCGCACCTACCGCCATTGCGAAGGCGTCAACCCCTAGCCTACCGCCTCTTTATTAGGCGTCCACCCAAAAACAATTCCTACAACCCAAGACCTACCGCCACTTTTTAGGCGTTTCAACCCAAGGCCTACCGCTATTTTCTAGGCATCCACCCCAAGACCTACCGCCATTTTCTAGGCGTCCACCCCAAGACCTACGCGTCCACCCCAAGACCTACCGCCATTTTCTAGGCGTCCACCCCAAGCCCTAAACCCTTGCTAATACCCTAAACCCCAAACCCTTGCGCTGAGCCTCTGGCTGGACGACGAAGATGCCGTCGTCGTCGGTGGGTTTAGGGTTTGAAGCTTAAGGTTTAGGGTGAGTGTAGGGTTTAGGGTTTAGGGTTTAGGGGATTTAGGATGTAGGGTTTAGGGTCCGGAGTTTAGATTATTTTCCAGCTCGAATTCCTACCACTACAGATTACTTACTAGAGATCGCACCAACCATACTACGTGATTCCTATCCCCAGTTAAAGTATTCGAGCCATGTAAGGATTCTGAGACACTTTGAGCCTTTATCACGAGGCGGCGTAATTCCCCCCTATATATTGTTAGAGTACATACAGATGATATATATATATATAACTATATATACATATAGGTATATATAGATATATGTATGTACAGGTCACACCCCAACATAGATTAAAAATGTAAAATTTCACCCAACATCGGTCAAGAAGCAGAAAAGTGAGGTGAGGAAGCTACTTGCGCTTCCTTGAACCGCGGTTTGTCGGGCCCAAGCTGTCAGCTGACGGAAGCTGCCATTTCAAAAATGTGTCAGCGGGAAAAAGCGTCACCTGAAAGCGGATCTGCCAGAACTCAGAAAGTGAGAGCTCGATGCGGTTCGAGGCCAGAAACTTGGGAGGGAGTTCCGTGGAGCCATCCCACCGAGAAAGCAGGTCTGCGTCGTCGTTCTTCTCACCAGCGATATGGCTGCAGTCCAAAGTGACACCGGTAATCGAGCTCCACATTGAAAGCTTGCGAACGAAAAAGTTAAGTGGTACTTTAGAGGTGTAAAGCTTATTACACACAGACTCCGCACCACTATTATCGCTCAAAGCTGGTAATGTCAAAGCCAAGCGACCGGAACCATGGGCTTTCCAAAAAGCCAAAAGCACAAAGCACTGTGCCAATGTCTCGTAGCTGGAGATGTCTAGGTTGGCATCTGCTTGCATGGGTAGACCTAAGTCCAGGAAGTCTTTGACTGTGTAGCGGTGAGCAAACCAAAGCAGGCGTCCGCTGGGGAGGAGTAGCCAACCTCCCACGCCACAGTCATTGCCCTTGCCGAAAGCATCTGCGGCCGACTCCACCGAACTGGTAGGTGGTGGTCGAAGTGGCCTAGGCCGCCAGTCCCTGGAGCTCAAGTGGGCAAAGAAGGCAAGGGTTTCTCTGCTGGATTCACATAAGCGCCGCTTGGAGGAAGTGGGGTCCGTAACTCGGAGCCACATGCGCTTGGTGCTTACGGGGACTAGAGCCAGGTCTTCTTTACTTTTAAGAGGCTTATGCCGAGCTGAAAGCAGCGTTGAGCCAGGTGAAATGCCCGTGCCCGGGGGGCAACCTGTGAAGCGAAGCTTGTCGTCCAGGTAAGAGTGGATGCCTGGCCAAACAACTGGGCTGATGCTGACATTGGTGCCAAGTGGTCTATGCATGTCATCATACAGAGTGCATAGCCAGGGGCGTAAAGCAGGAAGACCATGCAGAATCCACTGAAGCAGACCTAGCAGTTTGTCAAGCTGTTTGCGGCTGACAAGTCGATGCCGAAGGCATTCCTCCACCTGGACAAGTAGCTTCAAGCGTTTGAGCTCTGGTAAAGTGTAACAGCCAGCCTTGAAGTCGATCTGCCACCCTATCCAGGTTATAGACGGCCCCATCTGCAATTTCCGCCAACTAAGCGGTATGTTGAAGCAGGCGCAGAATGCCAAGACCAGAGAAGCGCTAAGCGGCAGTGCACGAGAATTTTGCCAGAGAAGCAAATCATCGACGTACAGCATGAGAACGTGTGATAACCAGATAAGTAGGTGAAGGCAGCGCACGAAAAAGCCCCCCAAGCGGGCAAACCAGTGGCTAGAAAAAGTGGCCCCGAAGGGACAGACACGGTAGAAAAAGAGGCGTTCTTGTTGTCTTAGTCCAAGCAGGCCTCTGTCTTTCTCGCGCACAAGTGAAGTTTTGTGCGCTCCCTTCACATCTAAGCTGAAACCCGAAACCGGCTCCTCGTCCTCCCTTGGAGGGTAAGCGGACTGAATGTCCTGGAGGCTGGGCAAGGAGAACTGTTCAGGAACGTGTGGCAGTTCTGGTTCGTGTTGCAGATGCTGTTGTCTATAACCAAGCGGGCTGAGCGTCCGGGGGCTTTGACAATGTTAACACGGCCCACCGCAACACGTTCCTTGCCCCACCTTTCGTAAGCCGCCTCTAAGCTGGAAACTTCTTCTATGTAGCCGGCCGAGACCTCCTCCTCAATCAACTCCTGAAGCAGTGCCGGGTCTGCCTCAGCTCCCTGCCAGTTACCTTCGCAAACAAGCAGGTCAGTGGGTTCGTCTGAGTTGTTGGGATCACGAGGTCGGAGTGTGTGGCTGCGAGGGATGTCGCCGTCGAATCCCGTAGGCACGCCCTTCTGCAAAGCGGGGAAAAGGGAAGTGTCCTTGTCACCCAGCATAGTACTCAAGCGCTCCAGTGCAGACAAGCAGTATGGCTGGCCTTCTGTCACTGAGAAGTTCCAGTCCTGGCACGGGGAGTGAGCGTCCGAAAAGCGCTTGAAAGAAGAGCGAAGCCACTCTGTTTCTTCCGTTGAGAAAAGCGGTTTATTGCTGGCTTCGGCAACGTGTTGCTGGAGTCTGAGAGGAATTCTGTTCTGAAGCAGCCAAGATTGCCATTCCTTCCGCAGGTCGTGTAAGCTGTCGGACTGGTACCTTGGGCCAAGGGACCAGTCGGGCAAAGAGTAGATGCCCCCGCCATCCTGCGCTGCTGTAGGCGTTGATGAACGTGGCTTTTTGGGAACTGAGGCCAGTGCGAACTTCAAGGAGCAGGGCGAAACCGAATAAGCAGGTCTTGCCGAAGAAAATAAGTGCACTGCCTTCGCTGAGAATTTCTCGGCAAGCTGGGACGGGTACTCCGCCGTCCGCTGGGACAAAAAGGTCCCGCGTTCGTCCCTGGTTCCTGCGACGGACTGGTGGCCTCCTGCATGCGAACATGTGCTTGCCAGAAAGCGGAATTCGCTGTAACTGCAAGCAAAAAGCCACGATTTTGCTATATCCTGTCCCACTGAACATGCCGGGATATTGACCAGTGAGGCCTGTATTTCGGAAAGCATGTCCTGAACAAAAGGCTCAAGCCAGGACATGGCGTTAGTGGGTTGTTCCCGGGATACATGCGCGCCTGAACAAAAAGCTGCTCTCAGGAGGCATACGCAACGATATAGAAGCTTCTGGCTGCTTTGTACTCTAGCTTGCTGCGAAGCGGTGTTCCCTGGCAGACCATTCATGTGATCCGGCGATCGAATGGCTGGAGGCCCACCTGGACGAAGCTTCAAGCGGGAGTACTCCTTGCAGGGTGGCGATCCGTGAGCTAAGCGGACAATCCCAGCAAAGCACAGCCGAAGCAAGTGGTCGTAGGTGTCGTCGTTGAGCAGGTCGAGTTGCTCCTCGCCCAGTAGATCTATGGGCAGACAAGTGATTCCGTATGAAGACATCGCCGTGGTAAGTGGGTGAGCGGCCCCGCAGCATATATCCAGGAAGAGCTCCACGCATGTTGTGTCCTTGAGCGGGGGATGTATTGACTGCGGGTGGCATGGGGTTGCCGGCGGGAGCGGGAAGCCCAGAGACCTCAGGTGTGCCAGTGACGTTGCATCAAAGCGGTCTAGGCTCTTGCAAGTGTAGGCAGTCAATACCCACCGGTCTCCTTGTATTGGAAGCGTACAGTGAAGTGCTTCACAGCTAAAGGAGAGCGGCGCGTGCCAAGTGTCGCGCACCTCACCTGTACCCACTTCAGATGCACTGTGAGCCTCGGACGAGGCATCCGAGGGGGCGGGTACCTGACAAGCCGCCTGGTTCAAAGCGGGGCAAAGCCAAACCTCGCCACCGCTGAAGTTGCCAAGTGAAACTGTGTGATTCAGAGACCCTGCAGCGTTGCCAGAATCTGTGTGTAAGCGGGTGCGAACGTTGTGGCTGACGCAGAGGGAGCTCCAGGAGGCTTCAGGGAACTGAAGCTGCATAAAAGCGTTCAAGAATCGAAGAACGTCTGAAAACTGCTCGGTGCGCTGAAAGATGCCCGATCTGGAGCCATTGTCAAAAGCGAAAGCCCCCAAATTGAAATATGCTTCAGAGGCTGCAATGGCATTGTCGGGGCAGTGAGAAGAAGAAGCGAAGGGAATGGAAAAGTACTGCGCTAGAAGCTCCAAGCAAGTAGCGAAGTCGAGAGAGCCTTCACTGAGTGCCGATGCTGCATCGGAGACAAGGGCACGTGCCTTTGGCAGTGACGCAGTGGCCCCTGCTGAGCCTGACGGTTGTGCCGGCACACTAAGCGGGACGGTCGTGACCTCCTCAGCGATGTCCCGCAGCTCGCTGAAGTGGGTTTCCTAATGCGGGGTGGCAACATGTTGCGAAGCCGGGTGATTGCCTCCGCAAGCGGTGCCGTCACTCTTAGGCACTGCGCATCTGTGCAAGTAGCGGCATGTGGCCGGGTCCTTGCACTGCCCGCTCTGGTACCTCATGCAAAGCGTCTGACGTTTGCCATCCATGAAGAGGGTGGAAAGCCACTTGCCGGGTGGCGTGGCTTGCTTGTTGTCCTTGCCCTTGCCACCTTTGCCCCCTCTCTCAAAGCGCTCTCCCTTCTCGCCTTTGCCGTCACGGCCTTTGCCGCCGCGGCCACCGCCTTTGCCGCCTCGACCGTTGCCTGTGAAGCGGGCCTTCCAGCTGTTGTCCGGGTCGAACTTCGGTTTGGGAATAAAGGGCCTCGGTGCAAGCAGGCTGTGCATGTCAGAGCGCACCTCGGCCACTTCGTGAAGCGCATCGTCCAACTTCCAGTGGTGCACATTGACTAAGTCGGCGATGATTTCCCAACAGCGGCGGTCGGCGGCCTGGGCTTCCATGGTAGTGGGACCTCGTAAGCTGGCGGCGGCATCGTACTTCGTGAAGCAGATCCTCATGAAGCGTTTATTATAAAGCTTCAGAGAACCAAGGTGTGCACCTTGACAGAGCGCAATGGCATTGGCAGCCAGTGACAGAAGCTGAGTGACGAGGCCAAAGGAAGCGGGGCCTTCATGTATGTCACGTGTAGGCGCCTCGTCCAGAAAAAGCTCTGTTAGGTCAAAGCGGGCCTGTTTCCTGGGCCGAACGAGGAGACTGTCTTCTTGAGCACGAGCGCTTAAGCGGTACTTCCAAGGAATCCATCGCACCTCCTTGTCGGAAAGCATCTTATTGGTGAGGGCCAATAAGCGGGCGCTTGGAAAGCTCTCGGCGTCAAGAAGTTCAGTGGGGTAGTCCTCCTCGAACCTCTTCCTAAGCGCCGCGGTTCGCTCCCCACTCAGCTTCGCAGGCCAAGCCTCTTGCCAAGAGCTGGAAAGTGGAGGCGTGGCCGGGGGAGCCGGGGTAGCAGCTGGAGGCCCATCACCAAGCGGGGTGGTGGGAGTGGGAGCGACTTCCAAGGATGCCATGCCCTCTGACGTTCGACATTTGCAAAAAAGCAAGCGAAGCGAAGCTTTGGTGATAAAGCGCTCAGCTGCATCAGTAACTGAGGCTTCAGCCAGAAAGTGGTTCACCAACTCTTCAAGCTCTGCCGAAGTAGTGCAGGACCGGGCAAACAAAGCAACGTCGAATGCTGAAAGCAAGGGGGCGACAGCTGCTGGCACATTGCAGTCGGCCACTAGTTGCGTGAAGTCAGACATCTTCGCTTGACCTGAAGCAGGTGCACATACTACCGAAAGGAGGCGAAGAACTGAAACTGAGGATGAAGCGTTGCCCGAAGTGGTCCTGCAGCAGGGAAGCATGTTGCTAATGACGACAAGTGGGCATCTGTGGCCTGTAACGTGGGAGCGCGGGATACCCAGAGCCGGGGGAGGCCCGGAAGTCTTTCTTGATCCAAGCGGGAAACAAGAGTGAAAAACAAGCCACAAGTTCAAAGCGTGAACTGTTCCAAAGCGTGCGCAGTGTGGCTCTGCTGGATTTTTCAAGCGGGAAGCGGAGCTCGAGTATGTCTGGCTTCGGAGAAGCCGGGCGCTTTGTACCCACAAGCCCAAGCGGGGCTGCCCTTGATCTATATGGGCAAGCCCAAAAGTGGGCGATTCAATGCCAAAGCCGGCATAAGCATGGAGCGGGGGCAAAAGCATCATTGGTGCTGCCAGTTGCGGCCACTCCAATTCCAGGATCCCCAAGCGGGTTGATCGTCCCAGCCGGACTGGTTCTGGCCCCACTCTTCATAGCCCTGGTTCCATTGAGAAGCGGCTTCTTGACGCTCTCTACCACGAGCCCGCTTACAGTCTCTGCATAAGTGGGTGGTGTGGTAGCTGTTGGAGCGGTCGCTGAAGGTAGCCTGACAGTGACCAAGCGAGCATTGGGAGCACTGCTTACGGCATGCCCAAAGCTGGACTAGTTGGAGTGTGGGGTTCCCCTCACCGTCGTAGATGGTGTGCCCCAAGCGGCTCGCCGGGGCCTCGCTCGCCAGAAGTGGGGCCCTGTTGCCCGACGGAGTAGCCGTAGCCGTAGCCGAAGCGGGCGTTGGCGTAGTAGAAGCGGGCGTTGCCTCTCTTGCCGTGCCCGCATTGCCGTCGGTGGCCCCAGTTTCTACAAGCGGAGGTGGAGGAGCTTTCTCCTTGGCCGCAGGAGGGGCGCTGGGAGTCGGTGCGGCCGGTGCACCTGAAGCCGAAGCGGGCTTCGGAGGTGATGCCACACTCTTGGCCTTAAGCGGAGGGCCAGTCGGAGCCGGTGTTGAAGGACTCGCCTTTGGTGAAGAGGGCGGCCGTGGCGGCGGTTCTTTCACCTCGGGTTCCCGTTGCCAACGTTTTGCGTTGGCAACACCATCGCCTCCGCCACCAGTGGCGGTGTTGCCCCCGTCGCCATCTGCAGGGGTCCTGGAAGCGGGTGCACCGTCGTCGTTGGTGGCCTCGGGCTTGTCCGCTGTAACAGAAGCGGGTGCCGCTTTGGCCGGAGGTGACGGTGAAGCAGCTGGCTCCACTGAAGGTAAGCTGTAATCCTCGGCGGCGATGTTTTCCCCTATGGGGTCTGCCATAAGTGCTGCGACTGGTTGCACAGCGGGTGCCTCCACCGAAGATGAGCTCGTAGTGGATGCGGGGAGAAGCGGATCGTTCTCCAGCTGCTTGAGGAAGCGGGTTTTCTCCTCGTCAGTCATGGTCTTGAGGAGTGTGAAGGCGTACTCAGGGGAAAGTTTCGCCATGACCCAAGGAGGCAAGAAAGTGGGCTTAAAGCGCATCTCGAGCTAAGAAAGCGATGAACATGAAGCCGTAGCACTCAGTTCAGCCAGTTAGCAGCATCTCTAAGCTGATGCAGTTCAAATGCAGTGCACCCACGTCGAAAGTTTTAACAGCTGGCCGCACTCAAGCTGCACCAAGGGAGGCCATGATACAAGCCCGCCGCTTACATAAGCGGGAGTCGGGCGGAAAATGGACAAAAGGTGAAAATTCCGAGATGCAACCACAAGCGGGGTGGCATCGTACTGAACAGGAAGAATCCCTGCATGCCAAGCACGTCATACGGGAGCCGGGGTGGGAGATGCAAGAGTGTGCCACCCCAGAGGCTCCCAGGAGGTATCGTACCTCTGTACAGCTAGAACGGAGACCCTCAGCGGGCGGGGCAGCAAGCGGCTGCGGGTTGGGTGAAAGGCTGGGTGCCTCACCGGACTCATCTTGCCATGTGGGATCGACCTCCGGATCGCGGGGAGCGCTGGAAGCGGCACGAGCCGGGCCTGATTCGTCCGCGTCGGAGTCCTCGAAGTGGTCGACCTGGGCACGGGCGCGAACACATGGTGGAAGCTTGGCTCCGGAAAGTGAAGAGACGCGTTCCCGGGCGTCACGGAGGTCACCATCCTGCTGCTCCAGGGCTAAGAAGGACTGACAATCGTTGCCAACTGAAAAGCAGTGGAGGTCCGGGCAGTGCTCCGCCCACTGGAAACCTGCAGTGTCCACAAGTGGCTCAACAAGCGGGGACTGGCCGCCTCTGTGCTGTGGTCTCGCTGGACGAAAGCCGGCATGTATTGAACGCCAAAGCAGCCACTGTGCACGCAAAGCTGGCCACACGTCGTCCCGCGAGTAAAGTTGAGCTGACCCTGGAGCCTTGTGGTGCCCCTGCAGGAAGCGGGAAGAGAGCGGTATAGACAGCTGACTCATCCAAGACAGAAAGGTGGTCTTGAGGCTGTGAAGCGTATATTGCGCTGCCTGAGCCGGTGCTATACCAGAGAGTGTAAGCATGTAGCGAAGCTTCTGCAGGGCTTGGGAGTAGGATGCGGGTGCAAAGCCGGTATCGCTCCAAAGGAAAAACAGACAGTCGGGTTCCGGCTGTGGCCCAAAGCGGGAGCGAACCTCGCGCCATACTGTGTCCAGTGCCCCAAGCCAGTGGGGAAGCCATGTCATGCCCCATTCCTCGGAGGACGAGAAGACTCCAAAGCTGAGGAGGCCCCATGGGCATCCCCCTTTAGTGGTCTTTGTCCTGTAGCAGATTCCTCGCAAAGTGAAGCTGCTAACGCAAAGCGTGCTCCAGCGAATGTGTTGTGCATCTGCAAAGCGGAGGCTAGCACCAATAGCCACAAGGAAAGATCCTGCCCAGATCATGTCCATCAAGCTTGCCTTGCCAGACAGGAGCATGCGTTCAAGAAAAGCGACGAACGACAAAGGGAGAGGTATACTCTCGCGTTTCTCCTGCCCGGCCGGGTTGGAGAGCAAGCTGAAAGCGGTGCCATACAGGTCGGGCATACAAGCGATTGCCAGAAGTTTCTTATACCACCGCAGCGCCTTGAGGACGTTGATGCTATTTGAAAGGGGGCCTGAATCAGAACCTCGAGACAAAGCGAAGAAAGCATCGAGGAACAGGCCCTGATCTATGGCCTCCATGCTGCCGCCCAGCTCCTCAAAGGCACAAAAGAAAAGCTGAACAGAGCGAAGGTAGCGGGCGGCTGTGGTGTCGCTAACCTTGTTCAGCAAGCGGGACCGGATCACTGCACCCTCGCGGCTACTTTCAAGCTGCTGGAGCACCGAGCTGTAGGCCCCATGCGATTTGCAAAGCTGGTCGAACAGAGCCTTGTTCCGCTCATCGCATGCCTGATGATTTTCCTTGCTCGTCATCATGCCGGCTGGCGGGGCTCGCAAAGCCGGGGGGTGCAGTTCCAAGGGCACTCGCAAAGCTGCCGGTGAGGACTGGACCGGTCTCGGAGTCGCCAAAGAGATTGATGCCTGAACAGGAGTCTGCTGAAGCGTGGGATATGCTGCATAAGCCGACGCGTCCTGAAAGTGCGGCAGTGCCTTCGCCGCCGGGAAGTTTTGCGGTGTGGACTGCTGAACAGGTACGATGCTGGGGGCCTGAAGTGGGGCTGAAAAGGGGCAGCGTGGGCGGAGCCGAGCCACTGTAGGCTGACGCCCGGTGTGCCCCACCTGAAAAGGGGAGTTGTACCTTAAGCACACCCTTGGAGCCCGCCAAGTGGGTGCCCTCGATGTAGCTGACAAGCTGGGTCGAGGAGGGGTTGATCGCAGCGGCAAAAACTGAAAGGTCGAATAGCCTGAAGTGAGCCCCTCAAAGGAAGGCGTCTCGGCCTCCGACTGGTGCTGCTCTATAAGCTGCCAAGATTGATCACCGCTGGATGCACCTGGGCTGGTTTCCATAGGTAGGGGAGGAGTCACCGGGGCACAGTGAGCTTGGTGAAGCCAGCGGCGTCGAAGCTTGCTCCTGGGTTCAAAGGCTTCCTCTGCATCTGAATCGGCAACCTCAAAAGTGGGCGCCGAAGCTGAGGGCACTTGATTAGGGTACTCAGGGTCCGCAAAGTCAGCAAAGTGGTTGCGAAAAGATTCCCTAAGTTCCAAAGCGTCAGCATCCGTGCATAAAGGCGATGAGTCAGCCAAGAGTATGTCCGTAGCCACCCTGCTAGAAGGCAAAGCTGGTGCATCACCACTGCCCGAGCCAGAAGCAGCCATACCTAGAACCAGATCCGAAGACGGGCAACAGTCTCAGAAAGCGTTTCGCGAAGCAAGCTGACCAAGGCCCGCAGTCTGATAGAAAGCTTCTGTGTAACCTCTTCCAATGAGGTGGCCCTGTCTGCTAGGTGCAAAAGCCAGTTGTGACCTTGGTGTACCTGAGCTTCAAGCCGGCTGACCCTGCAGTGCAAGCGGGAGATTTCCGCTCGTTGTGCGGCCCCCTCAGCCTCCAAGTCGACGAGCCTATCGATCAGTGATCTGACCTCTTCGGTCAGTTGGAGCTGCAGCTGAGGGCGGGAAGCGGCCGGCAGGTTGCCCATGCACGAGGCTGGCTGGACTCGCTTAGCTTAAAGCTGCTGAAAACTAGTCCTGACAGCTAAAGGCCTAAGCATGAAGCAAAGCTGGAAAGTCAACAGCTAAAGCTAAAAGTTTTTGAAAGCAAGCTGCTGTTGCGTGGTGTATGCTTGAACCCAAGCGGGGCCGCGGGGATGAGTAAGTCCGAAACAACCCTGAGTAAACACAGGAACCGAACTTTGCTCGAAAAACAACCTTGTAGCTATGCACGGGGTCTGTGCGTGGTCAGCTTGGGACTGTTGACCATGATGTCATGACAACTACTTGTCATAAACACCACAGCATGGCAAGCAAGGCGGCAACTGACTATGGGGGTACCTTAATGCGTCCTACAGTTTTCGTGGTTTTTCGAACACTGAAAATGGCCTCGCGCGATAGTACAATTTTGGAATTGTTTG